TAACAGACACGTTTGACAAGATACACTAGCTGCTATGATCGTACACAACAAGACAACACTATCAGCTATGGATGACAGTTCAATTTACTCTCCTAGGGAACATTTTGACATACCGGTACCCAAGAGTACATGAGAGCCTGACCCCAACAGCGTGTACAACAGTACATGACTGCCTGATTCCCGTAAGGATGAAAGAGTCCTTTACACATCCTAATTGCCATGCGTATCCTGTTCACATGCGGTATCAGTGCTATATTGCTGTCCAAACTTGATTTCGAAATGACGGCATCATGTTTGTACAATTCTTGGTTTACATGTGTGCATGTGCATCTGCATATTTGTGTGTTCATTTGTGTGTGTATGTGCATCTGTATATGTGTGTGTGTATATATGCGTGTGTGTTGTTGATCACTCTCTGATAGCTGTGGCATACGTGAGTTTATTCGATGCCGTCCGACATAGTGATATGCAGACGCTGCGGTTAGCGTTGGTGCGTGACACACCACCAGACGTACGTGATCAGTACAACAAAACACCACTGATGCATGCCAGCGGATACGGACGTATCGATGCTGCACGGATACTCCACGAGTATGGGTAAGGACTTCCACGATTCTCCTCATTACAATTTGTTGATGCCATCTTCGTTAGGCAATCAATTTATTTAAAATCTTGTAGGACGCATCACGCAGCTTCATAACTAAAATTTGGCTTGTGAGCAACACTGGCTCACACTCAATCACTGCTTTTCACAAATTCATTTCAGGAAAAAAATTCAATTTGTAGTAGTATCATTGTGACGAGTTCCAACTAGACTTGTCAGCATCATGGAGTGTGGCTGGTGAACTGTCCATGCTGGTTTCTGCAAGCGGCGTGTGGTCTCGTCTGGTCACAAGAAAAGTGCACCTCCTCACTTCATCGAAGCTGTGTATATACATGCCGTGTGGGCTTGAATACGGAACCGCACACTTTCGCCTGTTTGTCCTCGCGTCAATACTGTATGCAGCACACATGCTGTATGTGCTTGGATATGGAATGGCACAGTTTGCCTTACTTGTCCTCACAGCGATACTCTATGCATTCTGTCGAAAAAGGAGACCACTGTGCTAGCTGTGGTCGGAAGGTGATCGGATTTCTGAGGCTCTACTGCACCCATGCCGATGTATTGTGTATCATGTTGATGCTGCACGCACAGCACTTGAACTATGCTGCTGCTGTCATACTGTGTGTTGAACTGTGCTGCGTGCATAGCACTTCATTCTGCTACTGTCTGAGTACTGTGTTTGTGTATTGACCTGTATCTCACAGTGCTACTATTGACTCTGAAGATAATTTCGGTTGGACATCGTTACACCATGCTTGTCACGCTGGACATGTGAGTATCAATCTCCAAGATAATCATGTGCCTTTATTTTTGCTTGACCCCCCCCCACACACACACATTTACCACCTTCCCTTGCTTACTCCAATCTCCAAGAAAATCATGCGTCCGTGTGGCCCACCCGTTTAGCACACCACACAAATACACAGAGCAGCACAGCCAGTGACTGGCAATGGCGATAATCTGCCCCTCCAACCCCACATCCTGGCATGCGCTCAAGTAACTTGTACTTTGCGTTGTTGGTTTGTGCACGTGCAGACGGAAATGGTCTCCTTCCTACTGGCCAATGGTGCCAACTTTAACAAGCAGTCCAAGAACGGTGGCACCCCACTGATGAGAGCCGTGGAGTGTGGAAAGTCTGACATTGTGCGTATGCTCCTGGAGCTCAAGTGAGTGGCCACCATGCGTGGCATACCCTGTACCGTAGTGTCGTGTATCATAACCTGTCTCGAATAGAAGCCGGTTTTGAATAGAAGCCGGTTTTGAATACAAGCCGGTTTTGAATAGAAGCCTGGCTTTCAAGATGCTCTGGCAGTACATAAGCTCAGTTTTAGTGTTGCCATACATAGTGGCTTTCCTCCGTCTTTCTTGAATACAAGCCTGATTTCCAAGATGCACTGGTGGCACATAAGCCTGGTTTTAGTGTGGATATACGTAGAAAAACCTTGTTTGAATAGAAGCCTGAATTGAATAGAAGCCTGGCGCCAACGTTGGCTTCTACAGGAATAATCGCGGCTATTTGGCAGCGTTGTTGTACATGCTGCTGTCTTGTGTCACTCCGTTGTACATGCTGCTGCACCGTCTTCTGCCCCCCCCCCCCCCCCTACGCACTTTCCCTACGTGTCCCCGTAGTATTTGGCCGTCTGCCGTCTTGGCCTCACTTCCCGTTCAGGATTGTTTGTACCACAATTTGCACCTCTTTCACTTCCCTTTCCCCGCATGCCTCAATAATAATATTCCCTTGTCTCGTCTTGTCACGGTGTCATTTGTCCAGTCGTCTCCTCGAAGTAAGATCAAAATATACTCTGTGTCTAACCGGCAACTGTTGGCGCATTGTTTGGCGTGTCGCGAAGGGACGATAGTTTGGTTTTACCTAGACGACATTTGGCGCCCAATGTGGAGCTCAAACCCTCGACCCTGAGATCAAGCGTCTCCTGCTCTACCGACTGACGCAGCAGCATGTACAACAGCATTGTCTTGCACACACATAATTATGCTTGTGGGAGAACTGGAGCTCTACACTCTCTCGTTCTACATCTATGTGCTAAGCTTTCACCTCCCCTGCCGCTCTTGCTGATTAGAAGCTGAGTTGTGTTGCTCCTATATACTTCACTACATACTGTAAAAGAAGAAATTTTCGGTGGTGTAATATTTTCGGTATTCTCCAAAATTTCTCCAAAATCGGAGGTTTTGTGGAGGGAAAGTTTTCCAGGTACATTTGTAAGTGTACCAGTACTAGAACCGAAATTGCGGGGCGTTTTATTTTCGGTAAAAAGTTCGGCACCTGAAGTTACCGAAAATAGAACACCACCGAAAAGTTCTGCTTTTCCAGTAGCTTAGTTTGGCTGTCTTCTTCTAAGATTCAATCAATACACTAAGCTTGTAGCATCACTGCTTATTATGTTTGCTTATCATCCTGCACAGGCCTGACCTGAAGTTGAAGAATGCACATGGCCTGGACATTTTGCAAGTGGCAAAGTTGTGGGCAGACAACATTAGCCTGCTCATGGTGCAGGAGGCGTATGGACCTGAGCCCGAGGACACTTCGGAGGACAAGGGAAAGAAAGGTACGGTACACTTGAGTATCTGAATTTTCCGGGAGGGGGGATTTCCCTTTGTCATGTCATGTGACCCTCTGGTTGTAGGGGTAGGTCATTATGCAAGGTTGCGATTGTTGCACTGCAGATGGAATAATACAGATAAACCTGATTTCAATGAGCCCCCGTCATCTGCCTGTTACAGTCTCTGACCACAGGATGATCATGTTGGCACATGTTTAAAAGCATGAAATACACGCTTTGGTGCCAAGGAATAGTGTTCTTAGACAAAACCAGGTGATCTCTTTCCCGCTTGATCTGCACATACGTGTGCATGTGCACACATACACTCCCCCCCCCCCCCCCCCCCCTACACAAACACACACACACACACACATGCACACACACACATATGCACACACCTGCACACCTGGATCGAATGTCTTTGTTACGCTTTCTCTTGTTTCAGGCAAGAAAGGCAAGGGAAAGAAGGACAAGAAGAAGGACAAAAAGAAAGACAAGAAGAAAGACAAGAAGGGCAAAGGCAAGGAGAAGGATCGACCGGAGTCTGCGGAGGCTCCAAAGAAGGTATGAACGGAGCAGCTATTCCCCAGAAGTGCGACGTGTGAAGTGTGTCCTTTATCTGAGTATTATCTATTTCCCAGACCTTGCAGATCTTACACGGATTCCGTGGCAGTGGCTGCTATCCAAACTTTCCAAAAGGAGGCTTGGGTGAATTTGGAGAGACTGGCATGGATTGCTATCGCATCCCATAATATGTGCATTGCCTTTTGGCTATGCTGTATTGATATTTGTGTTGTCTTGCCGTCGCAATTGTCAGGGATGCACAACCTGTCCAAATATGGCGTGTTGGCCAGCGTAACCAACCGGTTGATCATGTTTGAGATGTGCCGCGATGTCCCTGTTGATACCATCGGAATGCTCACTTTGAAGTTTTGATATCACTGCTGTTGCTTTTGCTTCCCGTGTTCTTGTCTCTTGTACTGCAGCCAGCGTTTGTTGTACCACAACGTCCGCAAACAATGCCCACACCGGCGATGATAGAGGCCGCCCGTCGGAGAATGGCAAACATTAGCCGTCAGATCAACCCCTCCTCTATACATCCCACTAAACTCTACATGCCCAGGTCGGCCTGGGAAGCCGCTGAGCCTTTGAGAACGGTAAGACTGTTTGCCCGTAAGACTGTTTGCGCGGAAAAAATGCAGTATAGATGTTTCACGCATTATCCAGGTAACATCATCATCTGGATTTTCAATTATTTTTGCTGTCTATTAGCATTGAGCTAAATGTATTGGTTGTCTCCACATGCGTTCGTGTTTGTCTGTGTCTATCTATTTCTTTGTCTTTTTGTTTATCTGTATGCTTTTTGTTGATTAGTTTCCTCTCATGCTTGTATTACTCTGTGTGTATACTGTTCAGCTGGATACCGTGGACCACCGCAAGGACTTACGAGGTGTTGTGGGAGAGGAGAGAGTGGACTTTGGTGAGGAGCGGTCGCCATTCCAAATCAACCTTCTAGCACGCGTCAAGCTGGCGGAGCTGGAGGCGTGATCTAGTAGTGTGCACGGGATGATCAGCCGTTCTACTTAGTCATTTACACATTGAACAAGTGCTGCAGCCACTGCTGCTGCTGCTGCAGCTGCTGAGGACTATGGAGCGCGTAGAACATTTTTTGTGCCAAACTTTATAAAAAATATAAGCCCAGCTCACCCGGATTCTACTAGTGGATGAGCTGGGAGCAATTGAGTTCCAAACACACTCACACACACACTCACACACACGCACCCACATGTGCGCCCACACACACACACACACACACACACACACACACACACACACACACACACACACCTTCCTTCCTTGTACCACTGCCGTGTCCGGCTATGTGACACGACACACACACACACACACACACAACACATTCTCCTGCTGAATACAAATGCAGTTCCTAGCAGTCAAGCGACCTGTCCTAGAACGTACATAGCGCGACACATTGGTCTATAGTGACCATGGTTGTGATGCATCACAACACCTTCAGTTCATCACCGATGTAGGAATTAGGATGGTTTCTTGCGATGGCGAAGTGCAGAATCCATACCTAATAATTACTGTGTATTCCTAGTATTTTGCCATTCTTACAAATACTGCGTCCTACCTATATTTAAGACTGGGCATGGATTCCGTAGTGGTCCTGTGAGGTCACAACGCCTGCTGATGCCTCAAGAACGCCGCAATTTTCCGCATTTCAACCATATTGCTTTGACTTCACACACCCGTATTTCAATGATATTCGATTTTTCGTATCCACTCTGCTGTATTTATTTCAAGGATTTCTAAAAATTCTCTTTTAGAAGAGTAATCTGATTTCAGAAATTTTAGTTGCTCAATAGTTTTGGTAAGAGGGAAAAGGCCAGGTTAGGTGAACAGAAATTTTAGGTACAGAGAAGGTCCCTATTGGATTATGTCACACCGTTTGTTCGGTGTATTAAAATTTTGGGTATGAAACAGATGTACCGAAAGTGCTGAAAATACAGTACAAAGAAAATGATTACAGGGTGCGACAGAGCTCTCGGCCATTGAAGAAAATCTTGAGTCACCTCCACCATTACACTGCGCTCTTTAGCCGACTAGACCCTCCTTCACACAACCATCACCACTGCGAGGACACTAAAGAGCGCAGTGTAATGGTGGAGGTGACTCAACCGAAAGAAAATTTGTGAAATAAGTATTACAGTACTCCTACCCCATTACTGCACTGTTTACACCAATATCGCAGTGGGAGTGATTTTGAGGTGCAGCATTTTTAATAAAATAATATTAGCGAGATTGTCAGATCTCCTTGCAGTGATAAGATGCTATAGAATCTGGGTGCTGCTCCACTATTTTGTTTTTGACGAACTCAGACTTGGCCGGGGAGTGACGGGTTTGTGTTATTCTGTCCCCCGTGAATTCCGCGATCCGCGGATTGCAGAATTTCCGCAGAATCCAGTAGTGTCCGCAGAATTCAGAAAATCCCGCGGAATATTGCAGAAAAGAGAGAAAAACTGGAGGCGTTTGCTGCATTTCACAGCCAAACCAACCCGCTTGTGACTTTCAAAATCAACTTGCACGGTACATTTTGGACCTTTCAATTTTTTTGGACCAGGATTTCGAATAAATTCGGTTCAGAATTTATAGGGACAACAACATTCGGTGGTCTGTGGAAATTCAATCTGTTTTTAAGCTCATTTCCCATGCAGAAATGCCACAGAATTTGGAAGGATTTGCAGAATTAGCGCAGAATTTACTGTTTTCAGCCGCAGAATTCTGCACGGAATTTCTGATATTCTGCCGCGGAGTTCACGGGGGACAAGTAACGTTATTAATTTTATAGTTGATGGACAGAAACTCAAAATCGCTCCTGCGGCTAAGCTCCGAACACTGGATGCAAATAAACCAGTGCTCCAGCGTTCATGCATACAATGAGTGATAAGGTGTCATTCAGGCGAATTTTCACGTAGTGAAATCCATCATTGCAATAGCACGAACTTTGCGGCTTCTACGTGTCAGTTCAGAGTGAAGGCCAAACTAGGAAACTTTTGCCAGAACTTCAGGCGTGCTTTTTCATTTTAAAGTTGAAACTGTTTTTTTTCATTTGTAACGTCTTGATGTGCCGATACCCATAATATATTTAGGTTGCCAAAAATTCAAAAGTCTGACATGCTATAACCAATGTCAACAAAAATACAAATGTTGGCACGAAAAGGGAGGGGGGTGGCTTAGACTCTGCAAATATGGTGCATACCTTCGCATGCCGGCTGGCTGTAGATCTAACAAAGATCGACCATCACCATACTGTAGCCGAGTCAGGTCGCCCATGGCAGGGAATCAATTCTGCGTGGCCTTAAACAACACACACATGCACACGTGGGCATACACACACCATTGGACCATTTGACCATTTGACGCCATCGCCGGGGGCGATGATAGCGATGCTACAGCAGAAGCAATTGAAACTTGTGCTGGGATTGCGCCATTCAACAGCTTGCAAGGCTGAAGAACTGACCGCCACTATTCAGCCTGGTCTACACCACACAGCTATAAAGTGGCTTTTTCATACTCTGGCATGCACTGGCTGTTGGTAACCACCCAGGAGAATGAAAGAAAAGTCAGGAGGAGTCTGAGAAAGAGAAGAAAGATGCGTGTGACCTTCATCGTCGGGAATCGAACCCGCAACCTCTCGATCGGAAATCACTGCACCTACCACTGCACCAAATGGATACACACACACACACACACACACACACCTTTGACCTTGACCTTTGACGCCCATCGCTGGAGGCGATGATAGCAATGCTACGGCAGAAGCCATAGCAACTTGTGCTGGGATTGCACCATTCAACAGCTTGCAAGGCTGAAGAATTGACCGTCACTATTCAGCCTGGTCTACACCATACAGCTATTTGAAGTGACTTTTTCTGGCCAGTGAATCCCTATTTTTGGTCTTTTTCTTTTTTCTTTTTTTTCTTTTTTTCCCACACACACATCACACCACATACTCCGGCATGCACTGGCTGTTGGTAACCACCCAGGAGAATGAAAGAAAAGTCAGGAAGAGTCTGAGAAAGAGAAGAAAGACGTGTGTGACCATAATCGTCGGGAATCGAACCCGCAGCCTATCGATTGGAAATCGCTGCACATACCACTGCACCATATGGGACACACACACACACACACACACACACACACACACACACACACACACACACACACACACACACACGTGCGCGCATGTACGTATGTACGCACGCACACGCACACACACACACACACACACGCGCACACACACGCGCGCACGCACACACACACACACACATGCCCATTGTCAATGTCTATGCTATAATGTGGAAATGAAACACACACGCAGGTCACCGAACCGGCGCTTTTACGTGTTGTACCAAGTGGTCCACTTCTGCCATGGCCATGGTGCTGCTAGCGTATCCCAGCCATGGTGCTGCTAGCGTATCCCAGCCATGGTGCTGCTAGCGTATCCCAGCCATGGTGCTGCTAGCGTATCCCAGCCATGGTGCTGCTAGCGTATCCCAGCCATGGTGCTGCTAGCGTATCCCAGCCATGGTGCTGCTAGCGTGTCCCAGCTGTGTGCTGCTAGCGTGTCCCAGCCGTGTGCTGCTAGCGTGTCCCAGCCGTGTGCTGCTAGCGTGTCCCAGCCGTGTGCTGCTAGCGTGTCCCAGCCGTGTGCTGCTAGCGTGTCCCAGCCGTGTGCTGCTAGCGTGTCCCAGCCGTGTGCTGCTAGCGTGTCCCGGCCGTGTACTGATAGCGTGTCGGCTGTCCCGGCCGTGTACTGATAGCGTGTTCCAGCCGTGTACTGATAGCGTGTCCCAGCCGTGTATTGCTGATCTCTTAATTTGCTAAATCCTATATACTTGTAGGATTTTGGTCATATTTTTCAACTCAAAATGGGTGTGGCATGAGAATAGCAAAACGTATATGACCAATTCTTCCTTGCTAGGTCTTAGTAGATATCGAGAGTTGAATAAGATAATTTTTTCAAACAGTAACATCTCAGGCTCATCTCCTTGCCCAGTATTACTAAGGCCTGTGCCCTATTTTTCGAATCCTATATATAGGATTTGAGATTTTATTGGACCTTGTTTTATCCTTAAAACTGGTAGTTTCATGACGGCATGTGCGATATGTCGTCATGAAACCACCCTGTGCCACACCTGCAATGTTCTTCTGCACATTCACTGCTTCAGTCCTTTCCATGACAGCAGCTGAACAATTATGCTCAAATTTCCAATTATTGCTGAAAATGGGTATTCATCAGAAATATTATCACCCTATGAATCTTAAATGTAATCAACCATGCCTCAAACATATTTACAACTACCATGAAAACCATTATGCCACTGTTATTGGTCGTGATGACCAATAACAACGGCATAAAAGACACACATTTTCAAATCCTATATATTGGATTTTTGGCCAGCAAATTAAGAGATAGGCTTCCGCGGAAAATGCCGGCATAATTTCGGGAATTATCGGTGTGATTTTAAAACGAGAATTATTGTCAATTTTTGTGGAATAATCGGTAAAATTTGAGCAATGCCCCCCTTTTTCATTTTTTTCATTTGTAACACCCCGATTTGTACCAAAAAGCTTGTGATCCTGCAGTTGTTTGCTGAGTCTCACGCGAGCCGTAATTTTTTGCCCGTAGAAAGGGCAATAATACCCGTACCCGGTACGGTATCTGCAAAAATTTGACTGCAAACTCTCTTGGGCTGCACATGTCAACTGTGTATGCAAGCGAACCAGTTCAGCATTAGGGGTACTACAACCACATTGCACTCATTTGCCCATCCAGTGTAAACTATTATTTTATCAGTGCTATATTCTCCCTATATTCGACTATTGCGATACCGCTTGGTGTGGCCTTTCTGACACAACTCTGAACCAATTAGAAGTCCACCATAGATTTATACTTAAAATTCTTTACAACAAGGATCGATGTTTTCCTTCGGATGCCCTTTATCGACTTGCACACACCTCTCCTCTCTCTGTTCGTCATAAGCACCATCTCTGTACACTGGTTCATAAAATATTTCTTCATAAAACCCCTTCACACATGATGAAGTACAATTGGTTTTCGACAAGCTCAACCCGTAACGCGCTCATCCTGCCTCTTGTTAAGTCAGCCCAGTATCTAAAGTCCCCTTTGTTTTCCGGCTACTCTCATTGGCTATCATTACCATACGGTCTGAAAACTTGTTCTTCTATTGGTCAGTTTAAAGATCTACTATCACAACTGAACTAGACGCAATAATTATCATCGAAGAACATTCTCGATTACCTGGGTGATGCACGAATTTTGATAGTGCTCACTTCCGTTAATCGTTTTTCTTTGTAATTTTCCATTCATTTTCTGCTTTAATTCATATTATTTTGCTTTGTTTTCCTAGCTTACTTTTGCCGTGGCTGGCTCAACGCCCTTGTCTCAGGGATTCTGTCCCTGCATTAGCTATGCTTGTCACATGCTATGAGATTGTGTCTATTAATAATAATAATAATAAAAGGCAATAAATAAGATAAATTGTGCACTCATAACAACAGCAAAAATGAAGAAAGTCAAGTTCCATAACGTTTTCTTGTGACTGTCATCAGTGGAACGCCGTCACATAAAAAGGTAATAACTAAAACACACACTTATAATTATACATGTAGCTAATATGGTTTCAGGTAGAAATACAGCAGCTAACAAGTACAAAAAGCTGAAACCATATTAACTACATGTATATAAGTGTGTGTTTAAGTTATTACATTTTTAGGTGACGGCGTTCCACTGATGACAGTCACAAGAAAACGTTATGGAACTTGACTT